GACGCTACCCCGAGAACACCAGATAATAATAATAATAATAATAATAATAATAATAATAATAATAATAATAATAATAATAATAATAATAATAATAATAAATGTATTCGGATTTGTTCCTTTTTTGGGGGGGATCTATCTAATATATATTCTTTCTCAGTTTACCAGAAGTCATTATTTTTATTAGAACAAGGAGGGACTCAGGTTATTAGTTATATATATTAGACTGCTTCCATTTTATTTATTTATGTATTTTTTAGTCTATTTGAATTTTACAGGCTATAAAAAAAATATCCAAACCAACCCATAGATTATTGTATATCTGATTGGGCTATTATTTAAAATGCTCTTTTTGTTTGCAATAAAAATATCACTTCATTTTTAAAGGAAATAAAACCATTTGGTTCATGCACTGTCCTCTTTTTTTTTCTTTCTTTTTTTTTTTTTAATTTTCCTGTCACACACATTTCTAACTTCCAGGTGACCCGTGGAAACTTTCTGATAAATGTTGGCGCACAACCCGCTGATTTGTCCTCAGACTGCGCACCTCTGGCTGCGGCTCCGCTCTAATCTGCGCCAGAACGCGTTAACATTAATATTCTTTATTCCAGGAAATCTTTTGTCTACTGTTCAGATTTGTTAGAGTGAGAAACACGGTCAGAGATAAAAACCAAAAAAAAAAAAAAAAGCTGCGTTCTAGGGCCAAGCACTTTCCCAAAGAATCTCCCAACAAAATATGCAAGCTTTACATTAAAAGGCTACTTTGCGCTGCCCTTAATTCCCTACCTAAACGGTTTTGCTCCGGGAGAAGAAATCTTCTCTAAAAACCCTTCAAGAAGAGAAGGGCATTATTGCCCTAATCCTCTTACCCGCAGTCATTTTAAGACAGGGGTTTTTGGAGGCTGAGATGGCGTCTTGTCTTCCCTATCCCATCCCAAATCCTTCCAGGCCGGGACAGAGTCTAAAGGCAGCGCCCTGGCATCTATTAGCCATCTCTGCAAAGTCCTCTGTCTCCGTCCTCCACGGAGGGAAAGCCGAAAGGCAAACACGCTGCAGGTTCTCCTCAGCGACACCCGGACAGACAGACAGACAGACAGACAGACAGACAGACAAGTGCAGGCAGGAACAGTGTGGAGACACCAACAGAACATTTCCCTGCAGTTCATTGTTCTGGATTCTGTTTTGTTTTAGTTTTTAAAATCTATCACTCCGACTTTCCGTCATAAGGCTGTGTTAGTAATTTAATTAGAGATTAATGAACATAAACAATAATAATGTATGGGCCGAATTAAAGCTCAGATTTGCAGAGAAGTTTAAATGATCCTACTTCACCGTCACCCTACATCAGCCCTCACACGGAGCCGTTAACAGCTGAACTCTTTGTTTATCAGTTCTAGAAAACAATAAATAAATAAATAAATAAATAAACACGGTCTGTCTGTGGACATGTGTGCGTAAATTGATCATATTTGAAAATAACTCCAGACGTCAGTGCGGCGACGAGCCTGATTGACAGCTCGGAGAGCCAATAGGAAGCGCGTCTGGGCCCCGCGAGCCTCGCCTTTAAAAATCCCTCCACCGGGAGCTCGCGCTCCAGCAGATGGCGGCTTCTTGCGCGAGACGCGGAGAAACTCGAAGCAGCGGGAGGAGCGCGAGCGAGCGGACTTGAAGTGAAGCAGCGAACCGGAGGAGTTTACCGGAACCGACCTGTTAAGTTCAGCCGCGCGGGGAGAGCGGCACCGCAGCAGAACCACAGCAGAACCGCAGCAGAACCGCAGGAGAACCGCAGAGGCCCGGAACAAGTTGAAGAGTCTGAGGAGAAGAGACGGAGGAGACACCGGAACACCGGAGGTACGAAGTTTAACCAAAGTTCTAGAAAAACGGATTTATTTATTACTCTATTACTGTGTGTGTTATTTAAAAAGTCTAAATATGGTCTGTATGGGGACTCATGTTTAATCTGCGTCTCTAATTAAAGCGAAATAACAACAATAATATTAATAACAATAACAATATTACTAATAATTATAATATTAATAATAATATTGAAAGACTTTAAATCAACTCACGTGTTTGAAAAGTTAATAATCCGTCCCTACATGTTTTGCGAACAGCGAACCTTTTTTTTTCTTATATTTTTAAAATTATTCTCAACTTATTGGAGACTAAAAGCAGTTCCTCTAATAAATATTTCATTTTTAAATTCTAGCGTGTTTATCAAACTGCATTTTGCTGCAAGCGCTAAAAGATCACAAGAGCCAGCAGACAAAAATAAAACTCAACAAAATAAATTAATAAAATGCTATTTTCCTCACGCAGCATCACTGTTCGGTGTGTGTGCCCCAAACGGACACAGCAGAAATAAAAGGCTCCTGTTCACGGCTCCACTCATGACCGGCCTCCCGGCCTCTATTAAACAGATTTATTCACTCAGACAGGTTTTACTGCAGCTCTGTCACACGTGGCAGTGGCATTTTCACTCCTACATTTATTTTAATGGGTCTGATAAGATAATAATAATTATTATTATAAAAACAGTGGAGTACATTTAATGTGGACGTGCCCTGTGACTGTAACACCAGCTGAGGGAGGACGCTCCTTCCCCTCTGACAGCTCGCTCCGGTGACACAGCACCGAGCAGCGGGTCCACTCGAGGCCCTGAGGGCTGCTACCAAATAACATTTTTCCTCATTTAGCCGGATCAAAGAGTCGCACTGTACATGCCAATTTACATAATGACGGTTTGATAATCGAAGCATTGAGCAGGGCGGCCAGGAGGGCCCAGAGCCTGGAGCACACAGGGCTTATGAATGACAATAACCCGCTGACAGGCTCCGGTGATGAGCTATTGTGCAGGATTGGATACGGGATGGAAGGATGGGAGGCAGGTTTAAAGCAGAGGAGGTCACCTGCACGCTGAGCATGCAGGTGAGACGTTATTCACATGATTTAGCTCCATAAACTTTCATCACTGCAGGTGTAAACAGATGACTGCAGCTGTGGAAGTTTTATATGTAATTTTAGGATTAATTTTACTTCAACAGCATCTTTATTTTATTTTATTTTTTGTGAGAAAACGCGCAGAAAAAGAAGAAACGCAGGTTGAGGAAAAATCGCCGGGCCGCTACGGGGACGCGCACGCACGTATGCGCACACGCAGAGCACCCACTCCCACTGTACGTCCGTCCGTGTCAGCGGTGATGATAAATGGAGGGCCTCGCAGTCGAAACCTATTTGCACTTCCATTAGACGGGGAGCCAAATGGGGATCAACATGCATATTTTTACCCGCGGAGAAGCCATACATCTCAGCCAAAACGTTGCCCCGGGGCGATAGGATAAGAGGCCGCCAGAGAGGGGCAGGGGAGGCTGGGGGGGCCGGGGGGGAGGAGGGGCAGGAGGGGGGGACCCATTCAACTCAAATACTTGGGGGAGTAAAGTAAATGTTTAGCGAAGCACCTTCTGTCCCGGCGAATTAAACTATTCCCCACCGCCCTCTGATCACATTCATCAGCCGCCGCAGCCACTTAATAGGCTGGGAATGGGCACTGCGGGCAGCACGCGCACGCGCACGCGCACGCGCACACAGTCTACACACTGCACTAAAAAAAAAACAAGAAAAAAAAATCTCCTTTTGCAGAACGACCACCCAGTCATTTGTTTTATAAAACGACTGTTGGCCTGGGCCTATAGGAACCTACTACTATTATTATTATTATTATTATTATTATTATTATCAACATGAATAATAATAAAAATGATCATCATCATAACAAAATTACGCTACATCTAAATAACAATAATAATAATGATGATGATGATGATGATGATGATAATAATAATAATAATAAAGCTCCAGAAATGTAGTGATTTTAACTAACTAATGTACTTGGGGGAGTATGTATGTATGTATGTATGTATGTATGTATGTATGTATGTATGTATACGTGTGTGTGTGTGATTTGGATTCTTTTTTTTCTTTTGTTGACATTTACAACCAATATGACATAAAACTACATTTTAAAAAAATGATTTATTTTTTGCAATTTTAACAAAACGATCGTTAAAAATAAAAAAATAAACTCCTTAAATCGCAGCCTTAAAGTTATTCTCAGAGTTTTGTATTTAAGTGGAAGAACTCACCCGGTTCCCAGGACACAAACCTGCCACACAGCAGAAAGATTTATATCCGGTCCCCGTGGTCCCCGTGAAGCCGAACAGTTATAATAAGTGTTTGGGCCTCGGAGATACCCCTCCTGTCAGCCTGCCCGGTGCTAATACATATCTAATCGTGTCCTCCAGCGTTTCATCAGGAAAATCTCGGTCGTGAAGGACAACTACAAAATAGTTGGGGAAACTGTAAAAGCCTGGATGTTCTCACACCGTTCGTACCTTTAAAAAGCTGCAAGTGTAGATTTTAGATTTATTGTAAAAAATAAAAATAAAAATCTGGAACAAATTACTGTCGAATGTCGCAAGAAAATGAATTTCCAGCCGCGACAGAAGCTCAAACTGAGCAGCATCTCAGTCATCACTGCCTATTAAAAAATAATCCCGCTATCCGGTTGCAGGTTTTTACCACCGAGACCCGGAACAAATCAGCTTATATCATTTTCCAACACATTTCATCGACGCCTTGATCTGTCAGAGCGCCGTTTTCAAAGGGGATTTGGGTTCTCCGGGAGCGCACAGACGACGCGAATAAATTCATGAATAAGGCATCCGTCACGGCTCATTATGGGAACGAGTGATAATTACCCCAATTAAAAGTCTTTTGTATAATTAATGGTTTGAACAGGGCGATAATTGGATGTTAATGGATAACACTTTAGTCTGAGTGCGCACATTAAAATCTATTGGCCCTTGAGCGCGCGGGCCTGCTGTCATTTACTAATAATAATAAAAAAGGCTCGTGTGTGTCACGTCAGAAGCTTTTCAGATCACGTGTCCGTCGGCGTGCCTCGGCCTGACCTCTCCTCTCTCCTGCAGGTAGCTCCCCTCAGCATGCAGCACTACGGGGTGAACGGATACTCCCTGCACGCCATGAACTCCCTCAGCGCCATGTACAACCTGCACCAGCAGGCCGCGCAGCAGGCCCAGCACGCGCCCGACTACCGGCCGTCCGTGCACGCGCTCACGCTGGCCGAGAGACTCGCTGGTAATTGAGTGCACGCTCACACACACACACACACACGCACGCACACACACGCTGACACTGAGTTAGCAGCAGCTCGTAGGAGGCTGCAGGAGAAACACGCACAGTTCATGTTGGTAACTTCTGAGCTCGCAGCCATTTTTTTCCCCTGCAAATTTATACAACTTTGTACACCCGCACTACAACAGGATGACAGTTAAGTGAGTTGGCTCCAAAACACACGTTTCTAAATGTTCCTTATTAAGTTCGGAATACCCATTTGTGTGCGCATTTACGCACGTGGAGCCGCAGCGCAGGTCACCTTTTCTGCAAGTGAACCAAAGACCCCGCGGCCCCGGTAAAATAAAACTTGCCGTGTGTTTTCTCTTCCAACGGCTGCGCATTTCAAGACATCATCCTGGAGGCTCGCTACGGCTCTCAGCACCGCAAGCAGCGCCGCAGCCGCACGGCCTTCACCGCGCAGCAGCTGGAGGCGCTGGAGAAGACCTTCCAGAAGACCCACTACCCAGACGTAGTGATGAGGGAGCGGCTGGCCATGTGCACCAACCTGCCCGAGGCCCGAGTGCAGGTGAGGAGGAACCCTCTGGTGTGAGGCTGTGTGTCTGTGGAGCTCACGTTATGAACTTCTAATTATGAGGGCGTTTTATAGAGATGGTTGCATTATTTTAAATAAATGTATAGGCTCACTTGTATAGTTATTAAATATGGAGTTTCAAATGAAAAAAGTTGTTTTGGGGCAACACTCCATGTAATCCATGAACCAAAAATAACAAATATGGACAGAAAAAGAGAAATATTTCTTTTAACTGTCTGTTTCCTTTTATTTAAAAAAAAAAAACTGAATTAGTTCAAGTTAAAAAAAACAAACAAACAAAAACACTGAATTGCAACTAAACAAAAGTTATTTTTAGGAGTGTTGCTGAAACACAACCACAGCTTTACATTATTGTTTTTTGCCTGAACAGAAGAAAATGTTTTCATCTGAATCTTTTATATACAAAAAAAAAAAAAAAAAAAAAAAAGTGGGTCGACTACAATCCTGCTTTGGTTTAGTTTAATGCATTTATTCTAGTTTGTTTTTAACCTTTAAAGTCTCATGCACATGTTGTTTTTGCTTTTCTTAATGAATCTGGATGAACTGAAGTGAACTCATTCATGACTGTCTCTTTGTGTGTTTGCTGCTCGTTCTGTCTTTTAATCTCCTGTTCTCCCCGTCCACCGTCAGGTCTGGTTCAAAAACCGCAGAGCAAAGTTCCGCAAGAAGCAGCGCAGCCTCCAGAAGGAGCAGCTTCAGAAGCAGAAGGAGGTTTCAGGGGAAGGAGGCAGCGAGAAGGAGGACTCGCCTCCCGCCACCACCATCCTCCCAGATGCCCAGCTCCCTCCTTCGTCGTCCTCCTCCTCTTCCTCCTCCCTGGAGACGGAGGGTCCCGTGGTTCGTCCTGTCCCGCTGGACATGGAGCTGAACGTCACGTCAGCAGAACAATCCGGCAGCGAGTCAGCGACAGAGGATAATGCCACAGATAAGGAGGACGAGAGTAAATCTCAGAGAGAGGAGATGAAGAGCGAGAGGGCGGTGACACCCGGAGACGTCTCCCAGGCCTGCAAAAGACTCAGCCCCAAACCAGGTAAGAACACAGGACGGGGAATATTCCTCTCTCATCCCTCATCAGCTGACTAATAATAACTTCATGTACTGACCAGAGCTTTCTTATTCCCCCCTCGTGTCCAGATTCTCCCCTGGTCTCTCCGTCAGTGACGCCCTCCTCCTCCAGCAGCAGCAGCCTGGCCAGCAGCGGTCCTCTCTCTCAGAGCCACTCCTACTCCTCCTCCCCTCTCAGCCTGTTCCGTCTGCAGGAGCAGTTCCGCCAGCACATGGCTGCCACCAACAACCTGGTGCACTACCCTGCTTTTGACCTCGCCGCCCCGTCTTCACTTCCCTACCTGGGGATGAATGTCAACATGCCACCTGCGCCGCTGGGCTCGCTGCCCTGCCAGTCCTACTACCAGTCCCTGTCCCACCACGCCCAGCAGGTGTGGAACAGCCCGCTGCTGCAGGCGTCGGCTGCAGGCGGCCTCACCAGCCACAACAGCAAGACCACCAGCATCGAGAACCTGCGTCTGAGGGCCAAGCAGCACGCCGCCTCCTTGGGACTGGACACAATGTCTAACTGAGAACCAGACTGTCTGGAGGACTGGAAGCTTCAGCCCACGCATCACCCCATCCTGTGACCGTGATAGCTCTTTAGGAACCACATACGGACCTCTTGTCGAGTAGATGGGCACGGGACACACAAAGATGTCCAAAAATAGAACAGGCACTGGACCTACAGATCTCCATTCTCTTTAAGGCACACCACACTTCCATGAGTTGTTTGACTCCTCATAGCTTCTGTTGCAGCTCAAGGTCCAGAAGTACCACCCAGAAGATACCGAACACTGCTGCTGTCAGATGCAACCGTTAAAGAGAACGTCTCGGCTCCAAGAACAGTGAATGTGTTCCTCGCTCACGATATGATTCCAGCAGACACGGACCTTCTGAACATACTAAATAATAGAAAAAGAAAAAAAGAATCTGAAGTGACAACGATGTGAACAGCTGACGACGGATGCACTCGGTTAGAAAGACAATGCAAATGATGTTTACAAGAATAATGTGAATAAATGAGGCACTTTGGAAGGAATTAGACTCGTTGGCCAGGAGGGAGAAAAAAAAAGAAGATATCACTGGTGCAGTAAAGAGACATTTCAACGTGGTTATATGTACATAGCATGTACGACACAACGGCACATACATGGAAACACAGCCCAGCCATGTTGTCCTCAGCAGCATAATTAAAAGTGACTAATTTACCAGTTAAATGGCCAGTGATATGCCACTTTGTACAGAGGCTGGCTTGGTAATGAGAAAATGATTTCAGTGAGTAAATTCTCAGAGCTTTTAATTACATTTTGCCCTGGGCTGGGGGAGCTGGGGCAAACGCAATTATGAACATGCATACCATTTAAAGCAGCCTTTATGAAAACGGTTGATGAAGGTGTGACACACATCACTCTGATCGGTTCCGTGTGAAGTGATGGTGAACACATCTGGACTTTTGGTTGAAGTTATTTTAGTTTGTTCTCGCCTTAACATTCTCTTGAGGAAACATGCAGCTTCCCGTTGAACGCCACGCCGACTGTTAGCACTTGACGAGGAGAATCACACGCGTCTCTGGTGGTTTGTTTTTGTTCATGTGTTCTGGAAGACTACGTCTTCAGATGGAAAAAAAAAAAAAAAAAAAGCACATTATTTTAATATGTAAAATACAAAAAAAAGAAGTCTATCTATTAATGTTTACTGGTAAGGTAATTGTAAAGTTCCTATTATGTTGTATAACTGATAACGGACTCAGATGAAACTCCTTTAGCTGTCAGATTGTAGGATTGTATTTGCAGAGGTCACCGACAGCCCCGTCTCCTCCCTCGGCCGTCTGAGTTGAACTAATATTTAAACCGCGTACAGTTTTCTTTTCTGGGATTTATTTTAGAGGAAACAACTGGACGAGTTTGGATTTCTAGGAAACCGCCACCTTCTGTACTTTGCAATCAATCCAGACAGGAAGTGAAAAGACTTGAGTGAGTAACTGACCCGAGTCCTCTGTGTACTGCTGTCTTGACTCTCTCTGAGTTCTGTTGTTGTTTCTAATGCTGTTGCCCTGACTGTTTCTGTCCAACTACTTGGTCCAGTGGTAGATAGATCTATAACGGTGGAGGAGGAGGAGGAGGAGGAGGAGGAGAGTGGACCATCGGCAGTGTTGTTTCCTTTGCTCCTCCCGATAATGTAGACTTGAACTAGTGTTGTTGTAAAATAATTGCAAATAAAAACATTGCTTGAAGTTCTTTATACTGAACACTCCTCTATCTGTGCTGAGTATTTAACGCTTGGTCACGGCTGAAGAGAAGTCATTACACAAGCAGATAATGAGCTTATGTGTCTCCCTCTGAGTGGAGCAAACTATGAAGCCACACTGATTTCAGCAGAACTTTAAAGCTTCAGTAAAAAGTTTATCTGTGGAAAATGCAAACAGCTTTTTTATCCAGGTGACAACACTTCAGCTTTTCTCCTGTTTTTAAAAAATAAACAATGTTGAAGATTTGTAGAAAAACCTGATTAAAGGGTGGACAAACTGTCCAATTAAAAACCTAAGATATTAAATTAGATATATGAGAATATGACAATGGGGGTAAAAGAGACAGAAAAAGAACGACGTAATCTGAAATATGTGAAAAATAAAAAGCAGCGCGGAGACATAAGGCATCCCCAATGAATAAGCAGGCCATTATCCTGAAGAATGACGGCCTGGGGCGGTGATTATGCTGCTATTATATCTTTAACAGCATGGTTTGTCAAAACGCACACACCCCCACCCACCCAGCCAGCCGCCCTGCTCACACACACTCACACACATGCAGGCCGACCGGGTGCCACACCCTCTGGAACTCGCCCTTCCTCTTCCCACAGCAAACTTTACATGTGTTGTAAATGTGTGACATTGTGCTGCTGTTAATTGAATCGGCCTTGAACATACATTTTCCCCTCAGTGTGTGTGTGTGTGTGTAAATAACTAATGCACCTTCGCTGCAGCACCGTTATGAATGACCGCCTCCCAAAAATCGGATCGAGGGGGATAATGATCTCACCAGATTAGCAGCGTTAATGTGGGTGTAACACCTCACCCTAACCTTGTTGTGTTTTATTACACCACGTACGTGTGTGTGTGTGTCCTCGGCCAAGGACATGCTTGCTGCGATGCTGATAAGACGCGTGCTGCGGATATGCATCCACACCGAGTGTCCTTGTTATCCAGAGGAGGAACCTGTCCAGGTACATGGCAGGAGTTCCTCCCATGGGGCTCTGCGCCACAGAACATAACAACACTCTTGTTCCAAATGTTCCCTCTTTTCTTAACACCCATCCCCCCCACCAAAACACACACAGTCTCACAAACACACACTCTCACACACACCCTGGGGGTCTAACAGGGATTGCTTGATTGTACCGCTGCAGGGTCAAGTGTGCCGGGCCCTTGCTGCTGGATCAGGTGTTTCCATCTCTAACACTCAGAGCTGGATATTCACCACTAAACGCCCACGTGGAGGAGGCACACGGATCTCCATCTACTTCCCTTTAAGCAAGTGATGACATGTGTGTGTTCCTGTATTCCATCACCCAGTAAGTCGGGGCGACCGTACGAAGCATGAACCCGGTCCTGTAGACTCAGAACAAGCGCCTTCACTTCGCTAAAAGGAACCGAATGTGTAAGTTCTGCTCGTGTCTTTGTAACGGCAGGTTTTCAATGTTCTTTAATGGCTGTGACTGCACAGGTGGAGCAGAGTGAACCGACGCAGACCAGAAACAGAACCTCCAGTCCGTATGCTTGCCGTTAGTGGATGTTTGTTTAATGATATGCAAGAAATAAAAATACAGTGGTTTTGCTGCGGTGGATTTGTGCTGGTGTGGTGAGACCTGTTGGCTCTCCCCCTACCTGTCACCTGTACCCTCTACATATACACCCCGTGTCCAAACAATCCACATTAAACTACCTGCCGACAACAAAGAACAAATAAATGGCTCCTACAGTCTTCGCATCGTGGAGTTCAAGATCCAAGAGACTTCATTGTCATTAAATAAATTAAGGTGCACAGTCAGGACACGGACGCATAAAAAAAGAGAGAATAAATAAAAACAAAACAGCGTCCATCCACTCTGAAACACCACACGCTCACATCAGCACCAGATGTGTCCAGGCCGATGCAACAGGACCGTCACGTGTTCTAAGTAAGAGTTAAACCTGCAGCAGAATGAATGCTTTGCTCTATCTGTTGCTTTGACTCTCCTTCTCAGTCTCACACACACACACACACACACACACACAGACACACACACACACACAAAACACACACACACTCACAGAGCCCCTCGGAGCAAGACCCCCACACAAGAATCACAGTGTACCATTCAATCAGTGCTCCCTCTCCCTCCCCTCCATGGTTCTCTTAAAGGTTTTAACCACGGCAAGGCTGAAAAGTGCCAGCGTTGGAAACCTCGGCCCATTGAGTAGGTGACAGGGTCTGCCAGAATATGATCCTAATCCTGTTTCCAGCATTCTTTTAGCCCAGTGGCATTGCCATTTCGCAGCATATTCTCTGAGCTGTCAGGCCCGGGGAAATCCCTCTAATAGTGCATTGCCCAGATACACATCAAAGCCCTCCTGGAAACCACCAGCAGCAGGAACTCCAGGGAGAGGGAAGCACGGCTACGATCAGGTCCACAGCTGCACAGACACATGCAAAGAGAAAAGAAGAAACTCGCTTCAAAGTAACGCTGAAACAAATTCAGCTCATATTAGATCTAAAAATCAGGCAGCCACCCTTTTCTCTAAGACACCAAACGGAGGGAAGTGGGTTTTACAGACAGAGAAACAAAGACCAGAGGGATATGAAGAGGCAGACAACAGGTGGCTAAACTGTGTATCCAGGGCCACCCTCCTTTAGTTCCACTTCATCTTCCATTTTCTTCTTGTCCTTTTTCTCTTAAACACTCTGACTGCCATCTCGCCCCTCCCCGGGTAATCTTCTTAGGGAGAAGAAAACCCCCATTCTCTCCCTTCTTAATCTGGCTGCAGCCTAAACCTACGGTTGCATTTCCAATGTGGGCTTCACTAAACCGGCCGGCAGCGCTCTCAGCCACGTCACGGAGCCTCGGGGCTGTCGGCGGACGCTCAGATCGCACATTGTCTGGCGTATGAAGCTTATTTGAAGTAATTTGAAGGGGAGTCTTCAGCTCTGAAGGCAAACACTTTTAGTGATCGTTAAACGTGACACAACAGCTTCTGTTCAGGCCCGTCCCACCAAACTGTACTCCACAGGGCAGCACTATAGGACACGCTGACATCCACCAGGGTGACGAAACTATACTGTTTATAGCAGGTTTTTAGGGAAAGTCACTTCATAATGTCTACAAAGAGCAACTCAGCAGATTAATCACATGAAAAAACAAGTTCCTTCATTTACTAAAGCACAACTTTGAGGTCAGTGAGGATGCTGTTATGCTGTTTTATTCTAACTCTACTACACGCTAAAGGGACGTGTTGGACTTTTCACTACATCACATGAATCCAACAGCTGAAGTTTAATGTTGAGATGAAGATATTACATTTTTAAAAGCATGAATAAGCTCATAAATTCAGGACTGAACCAGTGCTTTCCAACATTCGAGGCAGTTTTAGGTCTCATGTTCTGCTTCAGATGTCACTTAACATCCAAATTAGAGAAAATTTTGTTGCCAAACTCAGTTTTTATTTGTCTCTCTCTCTCCACTAATTATCTCACGACCCCTCAGATTAACGTTGTGACCCTTTAACGAGGCCTCACACCGAGGTTGGGAACCACCATCAGCTGCGTACAGCGAGAACACCCCATGTGTAGCATTACTTTAATCCAAACTGGATCAAGTAACTGCACTACTTTATTGCATTATTATTTCTATTATAATTATTTCTATTATTTATATCTCTCATATATCCAGTGTTCTTACCTCAACAGTGCAGTATATATTTATTCTACTGTGTGGCTGTTACCGTGCTCATTCCTGACTGTATATACGTCCTACTGGCTCCGTCTGTAAATATATTTACTATATATTCTTATTTGTCTTCTTTCACATTTGTATTTTGCACCACTGTCTTTTGATTTTGTTGTACTGTGTGTATGATGACAATAAAAACATTTATTCTATTACTTCTCATTTGAACAGCAGGATATTTGCACGTGTGTTAAATTAAAGATGAACAGTTTAGATTTATGATTTTAAAAATCCCCACAGCAGGAACTCAAGTCTGAACACCTTCCATCACTGCAGTAATCTGACAGACTCTGTAAAGCCTGAGACTGTTTCTGCTCGTTGCTGGAAGGGTTTTACTTTAGTTATGTAATGAAGAAGACTATGTGGTCTGATCTGGGCTTCTTCTGAATAGTTTCCTCACAGTGCTGACTTATACGCATTTCTCAGTGTGAACAAAAATTGAATATCGACATCAGTGGTATCGGTTTCCTCCTATTTGAACTGATGTTTGTACATTTTTTCCCGTGTGTTTTTATTCAAATAAATATTTAATTCATTCAGATAACAGATTTCCACCGATAACCCCTGCATCACATCAGAAGCACTCGTCCACTGATCTTTTAGAGTCAGATTTTTTAAATAGCATCATTTAAGAGGAAAGGTCACGGTTGTTCTGATTAACATGATTTGATCTGTTTTCCTACAGATTTTTGTTCAATCTTCTTGCATCCTTTCCCATATTTGTGAAATCTCACAATCAGATTTTTCCACTCTGGCATTTCTTTGTAAAACGCACCACAATAAGAACATTTATGTAGAGAATAGTGTTTTTTTCCTGCAGAGTGAGTTCATCTGTATTCTTTCTTTGAGCTATTTCTTTGGCCTTTTTGCCTTTATGTGATAGTGCAGTGAGTGAGAGAGAGAGACAGGAAAGTGGGGGAGCAGAATGGGGGACGGACCCGTGGAAAAGGGCCATGAGCGGGATTCGAACTCATGACCTCCACATCGGGGACTGTAGCCCTGCACATGGGACCCAGTATTGCCCAGTATTGGTAGTCTTAAAACTTTAGGTGCATTTTTCTAAAAAGATTGCCTGCTTGTTGATTTGCACATTTATCAACTAAATAGTTTAAGAAATGTGAAAAAAACAGTTATTACCTCAGTATAATTACAGAAACATCTGTCATGGTCGACAAAGTTTAAAAACTCTGAGCGACGCACATACTTGAAAAAAGTACACAAAAAGTAGAATTATGACAAAAGGTAAAGCGGCCTGTTCAGTTCAGTGTGATGTACAAGTCCAGTAGAGTGTTATCAGTGATCCTTCACGAACACCCAAATAGAAATTAGCTTCAGAAGTTTATAAAAGAAGGACAGTAATAGCTGTAATCTGAAGAGAACACATAACACCGCATGTCTGATCCCCCCTGTGGCTATGAGCAGCAGAAAGCCGGCCTCAGTCTGCAACAAAGACCCCCTCCACTGCTGAGATCTGCTCTCCCAGCACCACCGTGGACTCTGATCTGATCTCCACCTCTGGGCTCAAAACACCGCAACAGGAACAGCAGCAGCGTCTGCTTTAAGACTCGCCAGCTAGTCTCCATACAGACATCTTACGGTTCACCTTGAACTGCTGAGGACATGAACACTGAGTCATTAAACTATTTAACAACCAGCTGCAGGTGCTCCGTTACAATATATGGACTCCGATAATAACCTATACGAGATCATTCATTCGCTTGCTCGTGTAGTACAAGGTGAAAACACGAGCCTATTACAGTGTTTTGCATGTTTATTAGCAAAAAAACGCAACATTTAAATTGTATTTGGAGACACAACAGAAGCACGGTTGTGTAGTTAAATCCATAATATCCATCTTTCTAATACACAGCATGTCTCCCTAACACAGGCTTACACACAGGGACACAAATGCACAGCGCTTCATTGGCTAATTCAATAATAAAGCAGGCAGCCAGTCGAGTCTACAGACAGCAGAATAGAGAGTAACTCATCTCTAACAGTCTGCCGTCTCCTGAGTGTTAAAACATGTAAATTTATGTAAGAGCCCATAGGAAACACATATTTACAATACGTTTAGGTAATCACAAGATATGCGAAGAGGCATTCAGGGCCCTGGGGACGAACGCAGTCAATACAAAAATAGTTTTTATGTGTCATTAATTCCCTCTGCATTCCCCGATACATCCCCCTTTTACCGCAGTAATACAGTAATCACTCACAATCGCACAGGAAATTATCTGCACTCATCTGTGGAATAAAAAAGCGGAGGGGCAAAACAGGGCGCGTCGTCCCATTTTAGCTCTCTGCTGCCTCTTTAATGTTCATCTGGGAGTCGCATGGCTGCCGTCCATCCCTGCACGGGGATGGGAGAGAGCTCCGGCACTTGGAGCAGCTTAATGACGGTGGGATGTGGATGGTGGACTCGTTAGACGCACACACACACACACACATACATACATACATATATATCTACGTATACGCACACACACAGACACACACCTTTTTCACGCTACATTGCCTGACCAGGACAACATAAAGGGTCATCGGCGGTGTGATGGAAAAAGAGGCACCTCTGCGCTCCCATTAGGCTGCGATAAGAGGAAACGCTTCACCTCTGAGCGACGTCAATGCAAAACGGAGTCAATCCAGCTGTAGTAATGAAAGTTGCACAGATTCAGATGTGACAAGCCAAATGGTCAAATAAGCCATTACCTGCCTGTTCATTATGGCCTCCTTGCTCATATCGCATTATTAGGCAAAGCCATCAAACCTGATGAATAACCACAGAACAAGACAAACTCATTTTCATAGCAGAGTTAAAGAGAAGCAGGTAATTCTGATGGAAATGTGTGTTTCACTAATGTCACTCCCAAACCGGGAATAGCATCTCTGTGCATCTGAGGACGTATATACTGGCTCCTGCAACCTTCACACATCTAGGCTTAGTGCCCCCTAGTGGGCACAGAAGACACAGGACACCTTGACTCTTTATGTTCTGTTGACACCTATGGGGCAAAAATGGAACTGCAAGTAAAGCACACATTGCAACGCTGGCGTTCTTGTTGGTTTGTGAGAGTTCTGTAACGTTCAGCGCTGTCCAGTGGATCCACGGTTATGATGGAAAAGTCCAGATGCATCAACAGGATCCTTAATTTCTGAGGTTAAAATAAGTCAGGAGTCGAGTCCATCATCTGCTGGAGAATCACGCAATAGTCCACGAGGATAACGATCCACAAGTTTGTTCACAAGCTTTCAGGAGAACAGTCCTCCGTCTAGGAGAGTCTCTTCAGCTTGCACATGTAAATAGGTCCGAAATTAGCAGCCAAGTGTGGGATGACCATCTCACCCAGGTGGAGGTCTGGAGCGAAGTGAAAGGTGTTCCTAAACATTCGTATGAGGGGTCGCAGACTGACAGCCTGAATGTGGATACGATCGGCGTGAGGGAAGGAGAGAAAAACGCCAATTATTTGTTGTGATTTGGGTTCACAGTCAGGAAACTGGAATGTTTTAGACGTCACACTGCAGTTCGACTACTCTGACGTGCACCATTAGTTTGCTGTTTCTCACTCACCTGCAGATGGATGCCGTGGTTCTCTCGAGCGAGGCAGACGGCCTGTTCAACCACACCCTGGTTCTGGTTCTGAGAGAGCGTGCAGGTGGAGTAAAGGATCTCCCCGCCTGGACAAGCTGCTTGGATTCCCGCTCTGTAGAACACACACACACACACGTTACTTTACAAGCAGGTGGAAGGCTTTGCTGCATGTTGCTGTGAGATGTCCCCACATCATCTACAACCATCAGAAGCACATTACTGCCACGTTTCCAGACTTACAGCAGCAGGTCCAGCTGTAGCTGCGGCAGCCTTCGTCTCTCACCGACCCTGATCTTATTGAATATATTGTTGTCATCCTCCATGAGTGAATGTCTGTCTGTGGTGCAGGGAGCGTCCACAAGGACCTGAACTCAGAGAGGACAGGAGAAGCTAGACGTGGTGGTATCTGAATAAAAACGTAATGAAATAAAAGGACCAAGGTTCTGAGACGGTAACTTACTCTGTCAAAGGTGTTCGTTTCGATTTCCCCCCATTTGGTGCCGTCAAAGGAGGTGACGCGCAGATTCTCATCTGTCAAAAACTGCTTAGGTACGTAGCTATGGAGGACCTTCCTTAGTCGCCGTGTTCGAGACACTGACATGTCATTCACACACAAGAACCCTTGAACATAAACACAAATGGTGGATGGTTAGTAGCAGAGTCACAGAACTAAGACTCAGACTTGGACTGAGTGAGGAGAACAAACTGATGAAAGGAGCCCACTTACTGATAGTTTGGGTCTGAAGTAACGACAGAGTCTTGCCTCCTGGAGCAGCGCAGAGGTCAAGCACGCTGTGACCTTCTTGAACATCCAGCGCGAGACAAGGCAACACAGATGCTGCGTCCATCAGGTAGTAACTCAGCAGACCGTGAGTGTCTGGTCTTCAGAGGACAAGAAAACACTGAGGATCAGACTACAAAAGACTGTGTCATTAGTGATGGCAAATGAAAATGGAGTATCGCTCACCTCGCTGACTTGAATCGTGTAACATCCCCTCTTGGAAACACCAAGCACTTGATATTTGGGCTTAGATTCATCTGCTGACCATCAAACATCTTCATGGAAACATCATTGGAACTCTCCTGGGCTTCAACCTCAGATTTTTGCTCCAAGTGTGGCTGAGCTGCAGAAGGAAGGAAAAACTAAATAACAGCAAGGATGACTGACGCACACTACAAAAGCATCTTTTTTCCAGATCCATTTAGAAGATCCATCCATCATCATCTCTACACCTTAATCCTCACTAGGGTCACGGGGGGCTGGAGTCTATCCCAGCTGACTCAGGGTGAAGGCAGGTTCACCTGGACAGGCAACCAGTCTATCACAGGGCTACACTTAGAGACAGACAACCAAGCACACTCACATTCACACCTACGGACAATTTACAATCACCAATGAACCTCAGCATGTTTCTGGACTGTGGGAGGAAGCCGGAGAACCCGGAGAGAGCCTACGCTGCATGGGGAGAACATGGAGACTCCACGCAGAAAGATCCCGGGTGTCCTCACCGGGACGCCAACCGGCGACCTTCTAGCTGCGAGGCCACGGTGCTAACCACTGATCCACCTGGCAATTGTACATATGCTTTGTTTTCAGTTTCATTTACCAAAACCTATGTTAGACTAAAAGGTTAGAAAACAAATCCCAGGTGTCTCAGGTAGCTGATAAACTGACCCTAGATAAGTAGCTATGCTCAGTAAAGCAGTAATTATGTGTTTGATTTTGCTGTTATGATCAAAGGAACTTGCTGGACTCTCAGCATCAGAACTTAAAGGAAGACCTGAGTGATAAGCATTAACTGATAAAACACAGAGCGGCTGGTTTACTGTGAACCTACCCTCCTCCTCCTCCTCCTCCTCCACCCTGTTGCTGATGAAGTCTCTGCACCCCTGGGCTTGGAGGTCTGCCTGAACGGCATCATAAGAGAAATTGTTGAGCAGGGCTCCGTACTTTCTCTCTGACAGCATGGCAACTCGGACCGATGGCCACAGCGGGCCCAGCTGGACGCCGTAGGTGGCATCGAAGTGCTGCAGGGCCAGCCTGGTCGGAGGGAGTTTGGCTCGTGTAGCAGCCTGTCCGACAGCAAGGGAGGGAAACCATTCACTGTCAATGTTCATTATCATCGCTGTGGGTTTCATTAGGTAGCTTAAAATGCCCATAATGAAGCCACAGACTTTGTTACTGAAGGTAAGAGACATATGAAAATGTATAACGACCACAGTGTGAAATTATAGATTTTAAAAATACAAATTTGTGAAAGGAAATGCATTCTAAGGCATTTTCATGTCATACCGTAAACTATTTATTTATTCAACAGTTTCACCATTTCCTGAATCAGAATCAGATTTATTGCCAGGTGTAGTTTACACAATAATCTGTTCTGGTGGGTTGGTGCAACAATAAATATGGAGTACGGTACAACGTACAAGATAAAAATGTAAAAATAGCTAAAAAACAAAAGTACCTACAAATAAAAATAACTGTAATAGTGCAAAGCAGAAGCAAAAACATATTGCGGAGTGAAGAATTAAACTTACATTTAAATAAAAACCATAAAACTGTAGTATTATTTACAAGAACATTGAGGGTGCAGATATATTGATATTTACATGAATTATCACTTATTACATTTATCTATGTAACTGTTGTCTACATTTTCATGTATGCTGCTATCTTCTGCTCTCATTATCGTTTAAATTTGCTGAAAAACTTCAAGGCTAATCTGATTTTTGCACCTTTGAAGCACTTCTGAATTAATCCATTTTCCTCCAGTAATAACAATTTAACTAATTAATTAACTGAGTGTGTTGATAATTTACCCATTTTTCTTTGACTCGGTGTCTTCTGGGCGTCAAACACCTTAAATCTGTAACTCTTCTTAATATCAGCCTGCTGTCCATGAACAGCGCCATCTTGCCGTGCGTCACTTTTTTTGGTCCGACTCCGCTCCTTACAGCTAAACAACCGTTCCGCACACATCGGAAATTTGAATGGGCGGGTCTTGCATAAGATTCCCGTTTCTGATTGGACCAGAGGAACGTCAGTAATCCCCTCAACCAATAGGATACGCCTTCCAGTGAAGCTTCTAGTAGTTTCCGGCGTGTGACCGACCTCGCGTCCTCAACCTGAAGCCGAGCGGCTGGGTGTTCGTTCTCCGACTTTTGGGCACATTTCAGAGACATAATCATGGGTTTTGAAAGGAAAATGCTCACGTACGGCGACCCCGACGACGAGGTACTGAACAATACCGGCATGTGTGTTTACAAGTCGCTTTGTGTGTGTTTGTGTTCGGCCAGGTTACCTAACCGCCGCTAGCTTAGTTCAGTGCTCCTCTAAGTCCTTAAATATTTAACATTAAACGTGAATGGCAGCTTTAACTGTAAAACCATCTGTATAGGAGTTCACGTTTAGACTTAATTATAGCGTAACTGATCCCTGGTGTCCGTTTTCTGACACACATAGATGGTGTTGATCATTTACATATTTATTAAACCAATCAGTTAGAACGAAGAGTTCAGAAAAATTCAATTAAACCAATTAAATCTGTCTGGATCTGGACTCGGAGGTTCAGTTGTCTGATTGATTTGAGCAGATGTTAGTTCTATTGCAGCTCTGGTTGCTTTGATAACCTTGCAGACCAAACTAACCTAAACATGTCTGATGTCACTGACCAGGAGGAGGATGCACCTGCTGAGGAGGAAGAAGAGGAAGAGGAGGAGGAGGAAGAGGAAGAGATGGTGGTAAGTAGGGCTGCCACTGACACAGTCATCTGCAGAGTTGATCGGGGGGGGCTCTCGGGCTTCATACAAAGAAATGGTGTGAAACAAAGCACTCATCATGAAAGACTATAGTGATGCTGCACATCACATTAAACAGCAGAACCTGGGCTACCAGAACCTATCAGCCATGTCTACACGCCCCAAACACACCTCACACACCAACTACATGAATTATCACACATGGACATCGATATAGCGCCACCCAGTCAACCCACTCGCCACATTTCTGGCTCCAGCGCTTTGGTACTTTATGCTAAACGCTCCAACAGCCCTCAGACCAGTCCACAGATTCCAGACATGTCCATCAAAGCTCTCTGAGATCAAAGCATCAATGAGAAACAATCCAAAGAACAGCACAAACCCAAACCGCTTCATCAAACTCTAGCTGTAAAATGTCTCTTACCTTAGCTGTTTTGTCTACAACCCAGAAATACTCAGGTTACTGTCACATTTAGAAAGCCAGAAATACATTTCTCAACACAATTGTCATAATAGTTTTACTGACTGACAGCTAATAAAAGTTGTTTATCTGCCTGATGGATGTTCTTTGTATACAAACAAGTAAATCATACAGAAGTCTTTCTGAGAAAAACTACAGAAATTTTCAAGCATGTACATTTGCTACACAAAGCAACTGGAAGCAGAAGGACAGAAGGAAAATAAACAAGGAAGAGTCCATTTTGTGGTTCTGCTAATTTAGCTTAACAAGCGTCCTCTGTGTGTGTCATGCAGTGTTCGTCCAATACACATCATCTTGTCCCTTTCAGGACCCTTTAGAAGCGATACGAGCCAAGTGTGCGGAGACGGAACACTGTGTGCACCTCAAGGAGCGTCTGGAGGTGTGTGAAGCTCGCGTCAACTCGAGGTCCAACACGACGGAGGAGTGCACAGAAGAACTCTTTGACTTCCTGCATGCACGGGACCATTGTGTAAGTTTGTGTTACACAGAGGCTTTAGAGAAATATGTAGGTGGATGACATTCAGCCCTGCTTGTCCTTCTTCTCTTTGAGAGCCCACGCAGCAAGGAAGAGCCTAAAACCTCATCCACCTGCATGTCTTCCATTGATTATTCTGGTAGTTTAATGGTAGCAGCTGGACCTGCTTGAGTTCATCAGCTCTGACTGACTAGTTGGGAGTTCCACATACTGATATCCTGAAGGAGACATTAACACCTGAGTTTCAGCTTCAACTGGGGGTTTGTTGCTCCTCCCCCTTGTTATGTGAGTTGTTAGTGCTCCCCCTGACACAGTGGGGTTCGTTAGGGTCTTTGTGGCTCGGTGTGGATGTGGGTTCATCTTCCTGTGGAGAGATCTTCAGACTGAACTGTAAACAGGTGAGAGGTGATGCCTCAGACCTCCACCTCTGGTCAGGGATGGTCCTTCCAGTTTGACACAGATGGCTTCCTTCACTCCTCTCCTGTTGTCTCCTTAAGGATATCAGTATCTGGCAAGCAAGTCCAGTTGCTAATCTATAAGGCTAAAACCTCATTCACCTGGATGTCTTCCACTGATGATGCTAACTGTGTTGTCTTCTCTCTTTGCAGGTTGCACACAAGCTGTTCCACAACGTGAAATGACCTGCCTGCCCTGTACAGTCTATGTAGCTGCTATAATTGTAAAGTAATTAGTTATCACTTACGAAGTCTGTTGTTCTCCTGCATTTGCTGGGACTAAGTCCAGACCACCCCCCCTGTGTTCAGTGCATGTTTGTTGACAGGATCAGAATCACTATCAGCATCATGAATCACTGCTTCTGTGGGTTATTCCTGCCTACAGCTGAATATTTGTGCAAAAAGGGCCCAGACTGTCATTAAAATGTGCTCTCCTCATATGCAAAAGCAAGTATACTGCTGGAGTTCTGGAGTTTATCTCAGGTTTGGTCATGGATTCGTTGTTCGGACCAGAAAATAAAGGATTTCTTTGGTTTCCGCTTTGGCTGCTCCTTTTCAATGCATCTGGTGTCACTGACTCATTAGTTTACCAGACTGCTGGTAGTAAAGGCTGCCTTTTGTGTCTTTATGAGATATAGTTGGGTGATGTAGACACACTATTCTTTCCAATAATCAGACTTTCCATTTATATACTTGAATGCTCAGGAATCTTTAGAGTCACACTTGGTGGACATAAACAATAAATCTAGGATCTGTTTGAGATTTACTGACCGTATCAGACCTAGAACCTAATTTAGGGCAAATATTTCTCACAGTTGACCACGTTTTCCAGCATCAACATAACTTGGGTGAAGGAGAGGTCTGAAAGCTAGAAATTCATTTACAAACACAAACAGCCTCCTGGACACCAGATGGATGATGCTGCTGCTCTGGAACATCTGCTGAAGCCAGAATTAGATAAAATTTTCTAACCCCTGACCTATAAAGCCAAGAGAAACACTCACTTATTGTACTGCCAAGTCAAGCATAGCCTACTAACTTCAGGGAAAACACAACATACTTAAAGTTATCAGTTGAATAAAACTTTATTTGACTCATGATCATAAATTAAAAACCAGAATATAAAAAATAACCTGTGAACAGTTACAGTAATGACCAGATGGTGGCAGTGTGACTCCAGATAAAGTCAGGTGAACGTAGACGTCTGGTCTGGAGTCATTTGAGAAAAACATAATCTCACTTGAAGGAACAGCATCGCTCATGCACACAGTGCACATTGCCAACAGGGGATTCACAGACATTCAGCTCTTTACCAAACATTCTCTTTGTTGCCAACGTAATCATCCATGGAGGCCTGCAGAGAGCAGCGGAGACACAGGAGGCTCATTTTACAGACAGAATTATATGAAACAGGTTCTTCAGAAGACTCTGCTGCAGTACAGGCTCATTATTATTGTGTGTACTGCAGCTGATGTGAGTTCTGAAAGCTCTGCTCTAGTTTAATCTGTTGTCGAGCACACAGCATTTAGGTTCAGTGACTTTACTACAGAGTTACTCAACAACACTGGGGCACTAAAATGTATATTCTACATCTAAACCATGCAAGCAGAGTTTCAGGAGTTATACCTGCGAGGAAAACTTAAATCCTCTGAAAGCTTGAGTTATGAATCAGTGTCTGAAGGTTACAGCAGCTCTGCACCATAGACTGTATAAAAGATGGACGTAGCAACCGGCCCTGAAAAATGAAGCCAACCCGGAAGTGTCAAAAACCTGCAATATCACTACGTCCGCTAGCTGCTGGCTCCAAAAAGCCCTGGCTCCCATAGACTGGAACTGGAAAAGAAGTGATCACAGATCACTCAGGATTTTTTTCTTATTAGTTTTCATAGTCAAATCCAGAGATCAGGTGGCCAATCTGAAAATAAATCAATACTGAATTTCTAAAAAATCATCAACATTTTGCGGGGCAAGGGGCGTGGCTGGCTTGATTGACAGTCGGCAGCAACGATGCAGACGAAGCGAGCAGAAGGCGGTAAATGTGGGCGGGCAGAGAGGGCCTGCCTCTCAATCCGTCTGACCAATCGCTGCTCCTATGGCTCCGCCCCCCCCTCCCACGATTTTTGCACCACTGGCTCCAAAAATCCAAGATGTCAACCAGGAAGCAGCAAAACCCTGGCTTCATTTTCTCAGTGCAGAAACCAACGGGTGACGTCACGGTAGCTACGTCCATCTTTTATACAGTCTATGCTCTGCACTCACCTGCATCAGCAGCCTCTCCTTCCTCAGCTTCCTGTAGAAGACGAGGACGTCCGGATCGGCCCGGACCACGCTGGGGTCAAAGTCCATGACCCTCACCCCCTCCAGGCTCCGGGCCCGAGACAGAGCCACGTAGGCCTGGCCGCTCTCGAACACACGCGCCAGAGAGATCTCCACACAGTCCAGCGTCATTCCCTTGAAGACAAAAGCAAACAAACTGTATTTTACAACCGACACCGCACCACGGATTAATAACAGAATCAACAGAACACAGCAAGTGGATCAGTTCCAGTGTTTGACGTAAACACAAGAGGTCTGACGGCAGGATCGTGAGCTTTGAGTGTGTGTATTGAGGGCATCAGTGTCGAGCTTCAGATCCACCTGAGCTGCATCTACACCCCACCCCCACACTCTCATCCTGGCATCTTTATATGTCTACGCTCACTCATGTCCTCCGCAGGGAACCAGGTGTGACGCTTCCTTCTTATGCCTCTGTGCTTCAACTCCTCCGCTGTAGATCAAACACCGGTGACACTCTGGTCGTGACCAGTGAACCCAATTACCCAGAGGCCACCCTTCCCCTCTCCAGACAGTTCCTCAGTCTGCCTCTGTAATCCACTGGGGGGCAAACGGAGTCGTGTTTTGTCAAAGAAATACAGCATCTGTAAAATTGTGCTCCGGTGCTTTACGACTGCTTTTGTACCTGTGGGGTTTAAATTTTTTTTTAAAAAGTACAAAAGACTGCTTTAAAACTGGAGGTATTTGTGTGGAGTTTGATTTAAGATGTGAAAGGCTCGACTGTAAACACTTCATAATGAATAGCAGCCAGCAGCAGCCTGTGTTCACCTGTAAACCATGTAGACATCCAACACGATGGAAAGTGGGGAAAGCAGTGATGGAAATGATCCTGAACTCCTTTAAGACATCTGACAGCAGCTCCAGCCAGTCAGCGGCTCTCTGAGGTCGTTCTTCAAGCCACAGCAGTGACGACGACCATCAGCATCCTGAAGCTGCTGATTCACCCAATGGAGTGTTTAAAGGACGGCACTGACTGACTACAGCTCTACTGCCTGAGCCAGCAGAGGCCAAACTACAGCATGGTGCAGCATGTTTAACCCTTCAAACCCCAAAACCCACCAGCATCTTTAAAAAGGAACGTTATCTTTAAAACAACCCTTTTTTTTTTTTTCCTCACATGGTTCCTCAGTGCCCTGCCATGCTCTTTTTTATAGTATATATTGTCATTATTGTAGTGTATGTGGTTCTGTGGGTGATTGTGTGTGCGTGGGGGCGAGTACGTGGGTTTATATGTGCGTGTTTTGTTTTTGTTTGTTTTATGTTTTTAAATTGGAAAGCACTTTGAGCTACATCTTTGTATGAAAAGTGCTCTATAAATAAAGATATTATTATTATTATTATTATAAAAACTACTCAATTAATCAGAATCAGGAATCACGAGAACAGAGAACATCCATCCATCATCTATACACTACTTAATCCTCAGTCGGGCCTCGGGGGGCGGAGTCTATCCCGGCTGACTCAGGGTGAAGGCTTGGTGGTTAGCACCGTTAGCGCCTCACAGCTAGAAGGTCGCCGGTTGGCGTCCCGGTGAGGACACCCGGGATCTTTCTGCGTGGAGTCTCCATGTTCTCCCTGTGCAGCGTGGGTTCTCTCCGGGTTCTCCGGCTTCCTCCCACAGTCCACAAACATGCTGAGGTTCATTGGTGATTCTAAATTGTCTGTAGGTGTGAATGTGAGTGTGCTTGGTTGTCTGTCTCTAAGTGTAGCCCTGTGATAGACTGGTTACCCGTCCAGGTGAACCTGCCTTCACCCTGAGTCAGCTGGGATAGATTCCAGCCCCCCATGACCCTAGTGAGGATTAAGGTGTAGAGATGATGGATAGATGGATGGAAGGTGGTGGACCACTGCAGCTGTGAACCTAAAGCCAACACTGGCTAAAATGATCTAATGCCGACATGACTGTGTTGTTATCTGAACTAATTCAAGTAAGATTGAAAGATAAAACTACTTGAGATTCACAGAAACCTTCCTCTTGAATAAAAGACATTTTTCCTCAGAGCACTGTCTACACTTGGCTCTCATCTTCCCTCTCCTGCGGATGGTAACCTTGGAGGACAGGCAATAATTTTCTCAGATTGAGGTTCGAGGCGATCTCAGACACAGTAAACAAACATTGTTTTTTCTGTCCATCTCTGTGACTACAAATGAAATGAAAAAAAAAAAAAGAAGAATAAATTGTTTCCAGCCTTTTCCATAAAATTACCAATTCATCAGGAGAGTCATACGAAACGCTGCTTCCCTGTGGCGGCGCTGAGCAACGTGCTGAGCAGAGAGGAAGCTGATTTGATGAGTGTCGGACGTCTGGGACTGACTCTGTGCTCACCTGGCTCTTGTGGATGGAGATGGCCCAGGCCAGTTTGAGCGGCAGCTGCTGTCGACTCAAGTACATCCCTCCGCCGGACTTGAACACCCAACGCTCCGGCTTCAGCACCTCCGTGACGCCACACAGGAAGCGCACACGTGGGAGTCCTGAGGAAACACATGAGTCAGAACATAAACAAGGAGCTCCCGCCGCCACTGGTGCTGATCCGTAACGCTTTCATTATAGAAATGTGTCGTTGTTGCCTGCAGACTCAATCACCAATTAAAATCCAGTGTTGTTTTCCATATTAGTGAATGTAGCGGAGCCGAGGCAGCGCTGAGCATTAATGGCTGTGATCTGGTGCAGAGGGTTAAAGCATAACTCTGGAGAGGAAAAGGTTATGGCTGACTGGCAAGCTGCAGCAGCAATTACCCTCTCACACAGTTTAAAGAGAGCTTAAGAAATGTGCTGAAACATCTCCTGTGGCTGAAGACCTCCTACAAACATCTCACAGCAGTGACAGGTGATGACGGTGGCCTCAGAGGAACACAGCAGGAGGAAAAACTAAATAACAGCAGGGATGACAGACTAAAGAATAACCTGTGAAAGCATCTTTTTTCCAGATCCATTCAGAAGACGTAACACATTAATCATATTATATCCCAGTTTCTCGGTTTACTTATATATTCTAGGCACACACACACACACATTTTCTATTAAATTCTTAGCAGAAAAGCAAACGAGTGCATTTCCTAAAGCGTCAAGTTATTCCGTTAAAGAGTCTTCTGCAGATCTCTTCCCATGTGTGAGATTTCAGTACAGTTTTCTGAGCAAATCCTTTTATGAAAATGCCTAAACTAAATACGAACCATGTTTTCCAGACTCGAAAGCCACCACGACCCCTCGCGCTCCGTTCACCAGGCCTCGGGCCACGTCCAGGTTCTTCGTCAGCATGACCTTTAAAACACCATCAACACCAGGAAATTAAAAGCACATCTGCACTCAAACAGCTTCAGTACATCAAAGGAGACGTACTGCAAGACAAACCACGGCGGGTAAAGAGCATACAGACATGACGCACGAAGCCTTCTTCTTAAACCTGCGTTCCTTCTAACAGCCAGCAGGAGGCAACGCAAGAGGCTGCATGAAAAGTGTCAGATTTGATAAATGACACTACATCTCATTTGATTTGTTATCTTGTTAATCATGTTCCCGATGGCTTTATGATCTCAGTCACTAGTTTTATGTCTCCCTTAATACGGCATGCTGTTCATTTAGCAAATTAAGGTCCCATTTAGAGTGAAATATGAAGCAGGGTGTGTTGTAGGGATTTTGTGAACGATAATGTGGCCATATTCAAGTTCTAATGCAGATCCAGCCCTCGAACATCACGTCCAGTTTAAAAAAACCAAGCTGGTGATGGCTACAGCTCCAACTCCAGGCTTCAGATGGGGCCTACGGTGCAGCTTTTACATACAGCAAAGTGTTTGTGACCAACAAAAAGCAGACTGTGCACACACAGACCTACCTGAGCTCCCACTTTGAGCTGGATCAGTCTGCTGACTGGACTGTGAGCGTCTATCGTCTTCACCAGCGCCGGGTCGCTGTCCAGAGCCTCAAACACCCGCATGGAGCCTGATCAGCAGGTGGAGAGACTTCAGTACAAATACTATGATAGAGGACGGGCACGTGTTCATGTGGAGCAGCGGTTTTCAAACTGGGGGTCGGGACACCCATGGGGGTCCCAAGATAATTTCAGGAGGTCGTCAGATCATTTAAAAAAGAAAAAAAGATAAAAATAAAATCTACATTTATCAAATAAATGTGTATCAGGGCTGTCAGAATGAGAAGTGTATATGTCTTCCCACTCCTTTTTGAACTTGTTAATATTATGATTTGATTATGTGATAGTATTATTATTATTTTGCTCTTTTTAAAATGATTTTCTTTTGTTTTTATATATTTTCCCCCGTTCATTTGTTTGAAATAAATTCAGTTCATTCATTAATTTAAAAGAAAATGACTGTGTTAATGTAAAGAGATCAATCTGTGGAATGAACATATTAATTTTTAACGCATTAATGATGAACAACAGAGTTATTACTCATGAGATATTAGGAATTCAATCTGAGGGGTCACAAACACAAACTGTTGTTATTTTGGGGGTCGTGGCTCAAAAAGTTTGAGAGCCTCTGATGCAGAGAACCCAAAGACATCAGAGCAATGAAACAACGAACAAGATTTTTTTCTTTTTTAAATCATCATGAAACAGATGAAACACTTTGGACCTGCTGCCACAGAGGCTCAAATGCAGCCCCCACAGTTTTCTGACGCATTTACTGAATAGAGGGCAACCAGAACAGGAAACAACAGAAGTCAAAGCTCAAGTGGCTTCCTGCTGAGACGGAAACTAGTTTTAACAGTTTTATCTATTTTCACCTGAATCCAAACCAAGCAACACCTGAAACGCTACAGAAGAGGAGCTCAGACCTGGCAGCTGCTGCAGTTTGTTTCCGTTGGTGAGCTCCACATCGTCCTTGTGCGTGCACAGTCGGGTGGCCAGGATGCCGTCCCTCTCGATGGGATGGTAGGCGCTTCTCATCAGCTTGGCCGTGACCTCCTCCGTCACCCTGAGACGTGTTAATGGACACACAACTTTTTCTTTAGACAAACTATTTTTGCAGCATAACCCAGATCTGATCATAAAAACCAACCTGCAGCGTCTCCAACAACATTTATGTAACATACGTAACAGGAAAACACTTCATTCCGTACATCTGGGATTATTTTTAAAGTGTGTAGATCAGCTAACCAAATATAAAACTCCTCCATAAACGAATGGAGCTGGTGATCCTACCTGCCCACCCTCACCGCCTGCAGCAGCGAGATGAAGCTCTGGTCCGTTTGCCTCCGTACCTCCGTCAGCTCCATGTTGACCTGGATGACCTTCCGCCAACTCCGGGCCTGAAGGTTCAGAGTACAAAAGGTTTTTTTTGTTGTTGTTTTTAAAACCAGCAACATCTATTAATAGTTTTCAGGAATCAAGCAGAGAGACTGTAGAGCAGCTGCTGATTCATGAACAGCAAAGAGCAGCCTGAATACATGTAAACTACTCAGAGCCGTAGTGGCTCACATGTACTCAGACCAGCAGGAAGACTCCGATACTCCATCACTCACCTCACTCTAAATATACAATATACACTGGGATCCACAGGGTTCTGACCTGGAAGCAGAAGCTGGCCTTGTCCTTTCCTTTAGAAACCGGAGGCAGCTGCAGGAAGTCGCCGCATACGATCAGCTGGATGCCTCCAAACGGCTCCGTAGATCTCCTCACCGACCTGCAGACAGAAGGTGTGTCACTGAGGATCACGCTGGCTTCTAGAGGGCTGCAGCAAACTATTATTTCATTAACACCCAAAGGTATTGTATTATTTTTGATGGAAATGTTTTTTCAGTGGGTCCCTCTATGGTGTGTGTTTCTACATAACTGGAGGTCTCAGGGTAACTTAAACGCTGCAGCTGTAAGAACCCAAAGATTCTGCAGACGGTGACCAGAGAGTGTCGAAACCTGATTTGTGACAGAACCCAGCATTATGGGATTTTCTTTTAAAGACTGACACTGAACCACGACATCCAGCTTTGACTGAAATCCTCACCTGGCCACTGATTCGAGCTTGTCGAAGAACTGGGCCTCCACCATGGAGACCTCGTCGATGATGAGGTGTCGGCAGCTCGTCCAGTGCTGCAGCACGCCGGGTCTCTGAGCCAGCTCGATGCACTGCTCCAGGGGGGCCGAGCCGGAGCCGACGCCTGCAGACAGCGTGGAACAGACGGCCGGAGGGGACACACATGAATAACACCCAATGCCAGAAGTCAGTCCTCACCCTCTAATGTATACTGAGATGGAATTAACGACATCTGTTAATGTGGAAATACATGCGAGACCTCTTCCTCCGTTAGATTAAATATTCATGATGTGAAAGCACAAAGACACCATCAGCGAGTTCCACTTTAAAGAATTAAACTCACAAGAAGAAACAGATTAAAAGACTTTTAAATGATATTGTTGAACCCGTTTCAGTTTTGGACGACTGGTCAGAAAACACAAGCATTCACTTTTACTTCCTGCTATTTTTTTGTATATTTTAAAGTTTAACTGATTAATAAAGAAATCAATCAGCAGATACTTAAGTACAAATTAAACAATGTATGAAATTATTCTGAAGTAAATGTGGATGAGGATTAGCAGCAACATGTGATTAAAGCATGAAGTCCTGGTTTGGTCCCTCTGACTGATAGATTATTATATCATCAGATTGTTAACAGTGAAGCTTCAGTGTTAGAGCTGCTTCATGGACAGAGACAGCAGATACATCTTGAAGACGTTTTTAATATACAAATCAAAAAGAAAGCTCAGTTTGTCCTCATGGATGCTGCTCATCCTCTCAATCAGGAGTATGAGTTGCTCCCCTCCAGCCTTCATCTGGCAGGACCCCAGGCCACAAAAACAGGTACAAGTTCTCTTTAGTGCCTCCATCCGAACTCTAAACGCTGAGAAGAGGAGGAGGTGATGCACTGTGTTTCTGCTGCTGTCGTCAATCATGTCCTGTGCTGCACTTTAACCTGTTTACTGCTGCTGCTGCTGGAACACACCTGACTGAATGAATGACCATGATGGCTGCTCATGTCCTCGTCTGTCTCATGCTTTGTGTGTTTTTTAACAGTTTTTATTGTGTTTCTTTACTTTAAAAACAGACAAACAAACATTTCCTTTAATCTGTGTTTTTACTGTTTTCACTGTGAACGCTGCTGCAGAACAAAATGCCCCTCAGGGACAAATCATACATCTGAAGTCTGATAAGTCTGAGGAGCTGTCAGATGTGCAATGAGGGAGAAAAGAATAAAAAACAAAAGCTTGTTCTATCGTCTGTTGTGCAATACCTTCATCTTAAAAGCAACTGAAGTTGTCAAATAAATGTGGGGTAAGATTTTTCTCTGAAATGTGGTGAAGTGGAAGCATGATGCAACACAAAATGGAAATACTTAAAGTCCATGTACCTCAAAGTTGTACTTACGTGCAGTATTTCAGTAAAAAGCACTTTACAGCTGCCTCGGTTCTGCTCTGTGCTATTTAGACAGCAAAGGAACGTGTGTGTTTCTAATTTTAGGACAAACCTGAGCTGAAACCTGCAAACTGACCAATTAGTCAGTTTCATAAAACAAACTGAAGATTTGATCTCTTCAGCGGCACAACGAATGACTGACCAGCAAAGTTGTGTAGCGTGGTTCCTCCGATGTGACACGCAGCCACTCCGGTGCTCGCTGTGGCAAAGGTGCTCTTTGGTGGCAGAGATCCGATGATTCTCTTGAGCAAGAAGGACTTTCCTGTTCCTGAAACAATACAGTCAGAGCAGACGAACTCACACCAGTGCTGTTTGTTGTCAAAGCTGCTGTGAAACGAGAGCTACACCAGGTTGTCTCAAGGGGATTAAATATCAAGTGAAGCCAATGTTCCTCAAATATGTGTCATTAAAAAGCCTCATCAGTGAGATAGAGCACAGAGTTTCATAAGACACAGTAACAGGAGTGTCTCTTTTAGACATCTAGATGTTTTTTACCTGCACTTCCTGTGAAGAAGACGTTTTTGCCGCTCAGCACTGCACTCAGAACGGCAGCCTGTTCTTTATTTAGTTTCCGTGACGGGAGAGACAGGACGGGCTTCTTACTGGGGTTGGCCTTCACCTGAAACAACCCACAAATCTGTTGATGCATCTTTTTCAGCTCCGAGGTGGACAGATCAATAAGAAAGAAGGATTAGAGAGCTTTATTGACCCAAGGGGACAGCTGTTGGTGCATCAATTTGCTTCAGTTTTAAGATATGCAGCAACCTAACGGACTTCAGCGAGTGCTGTGTGTCCAACTCACTGGGCTGAAGTTACAGTCGCTCCTTGACCGTTTGACCTGCTGTCCGGCTCCCGCCACAGTTGTCTTATTGGTGCGGTCTGCCAGCCCTGTAGGAACCGCTTTACTCCTCAGCTCATTGACCTTCTGGATGTCTTTTTGCTGCAGGGGGCTGATGGCCTCGAAGCTGCGGGGCAGACCGGCTCTGAGCTTCTCTCGGTTGGTCAGGGGCTTGCTGCCCATCCAGGCCTGGTGCTTGATGCTCAGCGTTTTGAGGAAGAGGCTCAGCTGGTCTGGAGGACAGTTGGAGAGGAGCACCTGGGTGTTTTCAGGGAGCAGTTTGACGGTGCACTTCCCATCTCTGGCAAACTTGGTGAACAGTTTGAACTCTTTCAGGTGGTAGCTTTGAGGGACTTTCCCGTCGTGGACTCGGAGGAGGATCTCCTGGAACTCGTTCCGGCCCAGAATAACGGAGGCTTTGCGGATGACCTGCCTCCGGGTGGCCTGGCCGGCGCTGTTGAGCTGCTCCACCGTCACACAGCACTGCAGCTGGGCTCCGTCCTCTCCAGCAGACATTGCAGCAGCTTCATGCCAAACACAACACTTTACATCAATCAGTGAATATTGTCTGCAGTTTCAGAAAACGCTTCAAACCGTTGCCAGGGTGTTGTGCCAAAAACTGAATGCTGTTGTCAGAGAAATTTCTCTCAAGTCTTGGCCTTAGATTATAATCAATCCATTTTCCCCCCCTAGGTTTTTACTGGTTCATGAAGCTTTCAGAGACCAATTCAACTCGTACAATGCAGTTTTCCACTTTCCAAAAAGTGGCTGCAGCCTCTACAAAAACGCATCAAAATGACTTGATGTCATTTATGAGGGTTGCATTTATGGCCTATAGCACACAGGATACTGCAGAAGAGATTATTTATTTATTTTATATATTCACCCATCTGTCAGTGATGCTGTTTACGGTCTAATTTCTAAACATAAACAAAAACACATATATATTTAATGTTACACCTGCTTAACCCGCATAAAGCATATGGAGATCAGTATGAACTGGACACAACCACTTTCTGGTACAAGCCCTGTGTGTGACATGAGAAACACTGCTACGATTTCAGCCTGAACTCAAACAAAGTGGCACCAACACGGCTGAGCTTCATCCAATCAAACACCGTGAGCTAATTAATTAAACTCTAACGATTCAACGTGTCAACATGAGCACAACAAAAAGTTCGCTGTAGCTACAGGAGCAGCTTAAACCCGTCGCTTACCTCAGTTTTTTCATAAACTACGTCCTGATCTCCGTCTGTCCGTCCTGCTGCAGCAGCTCCTCCACCTCAAAACACCGGTTTTCAAATTGTCGATGCACAAAACCAGCCAATGGCAGCGTGACGCCGCTGGCCAATCAGAGGCGGGACATTTAATGTCGCAGCCAATGAAAGACGAGGAGGCAGCATGCAGCGGATGACGTCATATTCCTGCGACACAGGCTGTGTCTGAACTAACGGGATCACCGGCGGCCATCTTGATTCGGGGCAGCTCTCTGGCGGAGGCTGTGGTCCGTGAAGGAAGCAGAGTGACCCGCACAAACGTAAATACTCTGATCTCACTGAAATCTGAACTGATTTACAAACGGTTTGGTTTCTTATAAAAGTTGTTAATGTGGCTACAATTCAATTTAAAAAAAAAAAAACTCAAATAAACACATTATCGCGCCGTGAGAGTGGCAAACAGCTGCAGCGACTCATACCTAGTTTATAGGTTTTTAGCTATTTTCTTTGTTTTTTCTTTTGTATTTTTAATATTATTATATTCACGTAGTTGTACTGGATTAGCATGAATACGATGGAGATGCCAAGAAAGAAGTTTTTTAAATCTGTCTTTTACTTTTTACGAACTTTTAAGGTCTGACGAGCCGTTGAGCTCCATCGTTTTACTAAACTCAGCTGCTGATGCTGAGCAGGAGTCCTCCAGGGAGCTGCTGAGGGAAGATGCCAGACTTCTGTGCAGCCTACGGATGCTCTAATCAGCGCAGTGTGGACACCAGAGCCCGTGGGATCACCTTCCACGTGTAAGATATTACATCATAGCATCAGGGCTGTTCAGAAGATGTTTGTTTACAGTCACTGAATGTTTCTGTTGGACACCTTTTATAACTATTTTAATGTGGTTAGTCTTAAAGTACATACATGCATACAATTACCCTGCAAATATGATAATTTAGGTGTGTGTTAGGCGTGTTTAGGTGTGTTTTTAGATGTATTAGGTGTTTATTATGTGTGTTTAGGTGTGTATTAGGTATGTTTAGGTTTGTTTAGGTGTGCTTTAGGTGTGTCATTCCCCTTAATGTCAAAGGAAATGAGGATTGAAGATGCTGACAGGGATTTATATATCTGGGTACATCTCTCATGTTTTGAAGGTTTCCCAAAACCGGAGAGAGAAGGAGGAAGTGGGAGCTTGCCCTGAGGAGGAAGGGTTTTGCTGCTGCTGGCAGGACGATGCTCTGCAGCGAGCACTTCAGACGGGAGGACTTCGACAGGACGGGCCAGACGGTCCGTCTCAGAGATGGTGTTGTGCCGTCCATATTCAGCTTTCCAGCTCATCTTCAAAGGGTGTGTGTATCACTGACCAACAAGGTGTATAGGATTGATATATCAATATAGATATGATTAAATGTCACACTTTATTAACATAATGTTGTTTATTGCAGCACGTTTTAGACACTCAACACTTCTTTACTTGTGTTTATTTTAGTCAATAGCAAAAAGAAGCACAACCACTTCAAGAAGTGCAGAAGACAACCTGCCAAGGAGCTGGTCTCAGGATGAACCTCAGCCTGATGCTGTGAGTGTTTGCATGTGGAATGAGCTTCATGTGGCTCGTTATGTTAAATCCTTTATCTGGTGGGACCCAGACAGGTCTTTGATGGTGTTGGTACTCTAAGAGCCCAGCATTATTAGAGGCAGTACTCTGTAAAAGGTTTGAGAACCACTGGCTGTCTCACTTCCTCTGTCACTCATACTCATGAGTGAATAAACGTGTGTGAACGTTGAAGCTACACCCAGGAGTAGGCCACCTTCACATGTCCAGAGCCACAAAACAGATTGTTGCCTTATAAATGGACAAACCTGTACAGTTTCTTAGCAGTTTGCTGTTGTGTTTCTGTTGACAACAGGAAGCCACTGGACTGAGGGGTTTGAGCCACAAGCGCCAGTCCACTGACCACTTATATGCACTGCCTGCCTGCCCGAAGGCGATAAAGGCCAAACTTGAAGAAGCCTCAGCAAGAGTGAGGAAGCTGCAGCGGGAGAAGATTAATGCCCTGAGGAGAGAAAAGAGGGCCAAGGACAGCATGCAGGCTCTGCTGGAGGAACTGAAGGAGAAACATCTCATCAACAAAGAGCTGAACTTTTCAACATGTAGCGTTTCTTGATGTATATTTGTAAAGGGAAATCTTTTACCTATTTTTTATTGCAAATAAATGTACAGTACAATACAGTATTTTGAATTATTGTTTAAACTAAAGATGTAATAATTTAAATTATTTTATCATATTAGTAATATTCCTATTATTAAAGGGTTCTGGTTTAAAAAGCACATGCACCACGACAACACAGTGTTATGGGTGAGTGAGCGGACCGTGGCAAGATGGCCGACAGCGTGGACGAGACATCCAGCCTTTATTATACATATCTACAGGAAGAAGAGGCGGCTCTTTGGGCTCCCAAACGGCTCTTCATGTGTTATCATCTGTAGCCTTGTATTTGAGCCTAACGCGGTAAATCTGAACGCTGTGTGTGTTTGGATGTCATGTTTTTATGAGAAGCCTCATAACGGCCTCATTCTTTGTGTTTATGTCACATAAGCAGGCGTTCTTACTTTTGTTTGATATTTGAATGAAACTTTTAATCATAATTTAACATGAAAACAAATGAACAAAACACTGCAAACAAACCCACAGAACAGAACCAGAACAGAACTCAGTTCAAACACCAAACAGTTTGTCCGTACTGCAGGTTTGCATTCAAAACAATTAAATGTCTGAGCCTAGCTGGGCTGATGGGGTCTCCTCTTGGTTATGATGTGCCCTGTTAGTGAGAGACTCTCTCAGAGGAGCAGATGTTGCCTCCCCTCTATCATCACCTCCATCACCTTCACCCCCACCTGGTGAAGGTGGTGGAGGTGATGTTGTCTCCCCTCCATCACCTTCACCAGGTGGGGCAGACTGAGGCCTTGGCCTGCCACCAGCTCAGCGGCTCTTCTGCTCTTTGGATGAGGGGCTCCTCCAGATAGCATCACATCTCCATGATAACATCAGCTGTGGCACTAAATCCTCACACATGATTGGCCACAAGGCTGCCATGCTGCCGATCAAAACAAAGTTCTGCCGTGAGCTGAGCTGAGCCACTGAGCAGCGAAAACTAAAGTGGGGTGCCGGCTCTCACTGATGGGAGCTGCTCCTCTGATTCACTGGAAAGCATCACTAGTAATGGCGCCTTTTAAATGTGCTGTTTGGAAATAACTGTTAGTACAGCTGGAGAATCAACAACAAGTCTACAACAGAGCAGCTGTTCTCACTTTAAATTTACAGAAGAAAAACATGGAAGCTCCTTTTATTTTAATAATAAAATAATTATTTTATATAATAATAGTCACTTTTTGAGTCACTATTATTTTATGCACAAGTTGTAAACATTGTAAGTCACTAATGCAGCTCACAGCTTCATCTAGACACCAACCAGCTGAGTCAGAGCATGTTTGAGGTTTGACTTTACACCAAGTGATGTATAAAGACTGAGTCTGTATGTCTGATGTAAATGTGTGCCCGTGCTCATGTCTAATAGTTTCTACTTTATAAATATCTTAGTGTGTCCAGACTGAAACAGCTGGTTCCATGAACAGAGGAGCTGATAGCTGAAGGCTCTGCTCTCCTACTTTTAGAAGCCATAGGAACAACAAGGAGACCTGCAGTCTGAGAGGAAAGCGCTCTGCTGGGACAATATGGTGCGATAAGGTCTTTAAGACACAATGGAGCTTGGTCATTAAGAGCTTTGTTTGTGAGGAGACGCATTTTAATTTAAATCTGGATTTTAAAGCCAGTGAGGAGAAACTAATGTGGCTTCATATGGCTTCAGTCTGCATAACGCTGCTGAAAGGCCACAGAGCTGCAGCCTGGTGTTCATTTAACTGGAACTTTAGTATATAAGTCATTATACAGGGAGAGAGGAGAAACCCAAAGAAAACCCACTGGGGGGAAGAAAAGTGCCAGAACATTATGAAGTAAATGAATATTTCACATCATGTTTAGAAAGTTTTAGTGCAGTAGAAGAAAAACACGGACAAGTCAGCAACATCTCTCATTAATAACATCCTATAACTGAACATACTGGATGCATTTATTGTGCAGCACTCGTAAAGACATTTATTGTATTTTAATGTATTTTACAGTTCAAAGTTCAAAAGGCTTTATTGTCAGTTCAACCACATACAGCCGTACAGTACACAGGAAAATAAGACAGTGTTTCCCCAGATCCTGAGCTAAGGCGCTACAACAACAATGAACATTTAACGAGGCCTATGCAGAGCTCCATGTGGAGACCCTGGGTTACGGCTGAGACCACGTAAACATCGGACATGTAGCGCCAAGAATGCAGTAAAGATAAAATAAAAATATGGGACCATGTCAGTGCAATATAAACACATGCATCTGAACACAGATAAGAAGAACACAGCGCCAGCATGTTTAACATGAAATGATAGTCGTGATACTTCACCCAAACTCTGAGGAGACAAGCGAACATATTCAGGAAAAGCCTGAGAAACAGAGATTAGAAGCTCAAAGAAAGGATCAGAAACTTGGGAAAAAATGTTGGCTAATTATCAGGTTTAACCAAATGTGAGCAGATCAGATAGAACTGTATTGATCCCTTTGGTAGGGTACCTCAGGGACATTGTTCTAGAAACAGCACAACACAGACAGAGACAGTAGTACACATCAGTGAAGAGAAAGAAGCAGTAGACAAGGAACAGCCGTCTCCTACAGCGCCGGAAGTGATTCACCTACATAACTATCCATTCATTATCTATACTCCGCTTAATCCTCACTAGGGTGGTGGGGGGCGGAGCCTGTCCCAGCTGACTCAGGGTGAAGGCAGGTTCACCTGGACAGGTGGCCAGTCTATCACAGGGCTACACTTAGAGACAGACAACCAAGCACACTCACATTCACACCTACGGACAATTTACAATCACCAATTAACCTCAGCATGTTTCTGGACTGTGGGAGGAAGCCGGAGAACCCAGAGAGAACCCACGCTGCACGGGGAGAACCTGGAGACTCCATGCAGGAAGATCCCGGGTGTCCTCACCGGGACGCCAACCGGCGACCTTCTAGCTGCGAGGTGCTAACGGTGCTAACCACCGAGACACCTGGTATGAAAACTGTTCCTGTCTCATAACAAATCAGTTCCTACCCCTGATATTCACAGATTGCATCTTTGGCTGTGTTCAGTTGGTCTCCTTTAAAATATCACACATAAGTAGAACATTTTAAACTGGATCAGAACACGTCTTTGCTCTGCGTAACTTTGTTCAGTTCCTACCCTCTCATTGTTACTGTCAGGGATCGTATTAGAAGAAGTTATTTTTTATAAATGACTCGACTGTCCTGATCTGTAGTTGCAGGAAGCAGGATCCTGATGCTCACGTTTCATTTCTTCCTCTAGTTTCCTGTTAAACCTGGAACAAGGGAGTAACGGTAAATATACAACATCTTATTTTAGATCCAGTAAATGAAAACATCCGTGGTTTTTATTTCAAGTTGCAGCTGTGAGCTCTTTTTTTAGCGATGGCAGGTATCTATGCAGACAGTGATGACGCAGACGGACTCCTTTATTACATTACTTCAGATTAGAACCCTGTGAGGACTCATCGTCGAGACCTCATTAATTTCAAATTACAGCAGACACACAAAGCGCTCGTGTTGCTGTACATTCTGTGGATCGCATGAAGCGTCTTCAGAACCTGCTGGGTCGGGGGAACGTCCAGTCAATAGACAAGGCCGACCAAAGCCAGTCCAGTTGAAGTGACTCAGACTTTGATCCTCCAGCTGGTGGTAAATGCGCTGTGACAGTTTGACCGAAGTGATGAATCAGATCCTACCACAGACTTAGTATGTATGTACAATATTCTACATTTATTATAAGGTTTTAGCAGCTACAGTTTTAGGACACGACATCGTCATCCCACTGTTTAATGGCTCCCTCTGTCTCTCTATGAGCCCTCTCACATCACACAGTAATCTGAGTATTATTGTAAGAAATATCCACAAGTGTATTTTTTTTTCTGTGGAAGGATTTGGCCTGAACATCTAACCTGTGTTTAAATGTCATGACTCAACCTTTATTTATTGTTTCTCACTTTGGTTTCATTTTTCACTGCGATATAAAATCCTGAGCGTCATGGAAACAGCATCACCACGACTGGAAGTAGACATCCATCCATCCATCATCTCTACACCTCATGAGGGTCGCGGTGAGGTGACTCAGGGTGAAGGCAGGTTCACCTGGACAGGTAACCAGTCTATCACAGGGCTACACTTAGAGACAGACAACCAAGCACACTCACATTCACACCTACGGACAATTTAGAATCACTAATGAACCTCAGCATGTTTCTGGACTGTGGGAGGAACCCGGAGAACCCGGAGAGAACCCACGCTGCATGGAGAGAACATGGAGACTCCATGCAGAAAGATCCCGGGTGTCCTCACTGGGACGCGAACCGGTGACCTTCTAGCTGTGAGGCCTTGGTGCTAACCAACTGCGCCACCTTGCCGCCTATTTTGAAAGCTGAAATCTAAAAAGATATTTCACCATGCTGAATGTATCCTCCAACAACCGTCTCCTCTTTCTGCCATTTCTGAGGGATCCTGATGTACTTTATTAATAAAGTCTGTTTTCTTTTCGTCTCCATCTCTTCTGTCCTCACTTTTCTGTTCTATGTGCAGTTCACCTGAAAACTCTGATTTTTTTGCCATGTGACTGTTGGTTGCCCCTCAGACGGTCACGGCTCCTCAGTTGTGCTGATGAGCATCTGATTTTTATTATTTAACAGAATCTGGTTCCTGCCAGCAGTTTATTTTTGGTACGTTGTGACTTTTAAACTAACAAAAGGACTTTGGTGAAACACATCATGTCACACTAGTTGAAGGACAGGTGAAGTCTGAAAGTTGAAAATCTGACGATTCAGTTTTTACGGTTTCTCCCTCTGATAAATGGTGTTTTTTAAAAAGATAATATATCTTTCAGGAGAGTTAAAACAATTCTCACGTTACATAGATATTTTTTTAGTGGTTCACCTTTTGTCTTTGTTTGCAGAAATCATAATGTTTATTCTGCAGCTGTATTCGATGAATTCTTCTTTGTCTTAGCCTGAATCAGTTCTTGTGATCCTGAGTGTTGGGGATGGTCTAGAGGCGGGTCCATTCTCAGATGGGA